ACTGATGTTGGTCTTCGTTTTGCAACCAAATCTTCCTTTTCAGTGTTTCTGCCCTGTTCCTCACTCATGTGAAGGCTGCGTGTCAACAAATTTCTTTGTAGATAAAATTAAAACCTCAGTGCATCCAATTGGAGTAAATGGACTTGTTTCGTGGAGTAGTTATAGAAAATCAGAACCATGCAACTTTCTTTTTGTATAAAGCAGCAATAAAAAGTTGTAGCATGATGTGTTAATTGATTAAATTTAATTTGCATTACTTACTGTCACTTATTATTGTGCAAACCATATATCGTGCAGCGCTTAGTGCCAGTGTTGAAACCAAAAACATAAGGCGCCTATGCTCTGCCTACGTCTTTCATTAAATGAGCTTTTCTTGCCCTTTTCACCCTTCAGATACACACAATTCCTTAAGAACACGATTTTTTGGCTTCGCAGAGGCAAGGCCTTGAAAATGTGCCAAGTCTCATGAACTAATATTATACATAATGCCCATATTGAGTGGATTATCTTATAGTATATCAGGATTACTGCTACAGACTGTGTCCAGCACCACCATTTAATTTGTCACAATGTTTAATTCATGGACATTCCTACATCGTATTCGCTCACATGCAGCACAGCTTATTAAATCTACGACTTCACCTATCTACGATTTGAATCTCAACGCTGGTTATAGGGCAGCTGAGCAGGTGCTTGGTGTGTCCTCACATGACATTTTAGTTACTTGCAGAGTCAACAGAAAGCTGTTAATAATGTCTATATATAAAACAGGAGGCACACATAGCCGGGATGTAACCGGCAGCGAGGACAGTACGGCTGCGGCACCTCAGCCCTTTGCTATTATTTTATGAGTCCCTCGTGGGCCTGGAGGGTGCAGGAGAGGAGGCGGATTCTGAAAGGTCTAATTAAGCAAAGCGAAATGAGAGTGCCGAGATAGCAAGCCCAGGACAAGACACAAATCAGGGGCTGTTGACAGTGGGCTGCAGAGCAATGGGGCTTTGCAGCAAAGGCCACAGTCTATAGCTTCCAGGTAATGACCAACCATACTTCTCAGTTTAACTTTCTTTATGGCTCGGGGTTAAGGGTTGTGAATCTCAATCTCATTATGTAAAACATCAGCCTGTGAATGTAGACATTCTGTCTTATTTGCACTTAAAGAGCTAATTAGTGTTTTCTCAGTAGCTGGGTCGCGCTGGGGTAGAAGCAGATGACTCCATCAGGTGTCTTGTTTGGCACTCAGTCAGTGGAGAAAAAGGCTAAAGCTGAGCAGTTCTCTACTCAGAGTATTAAAGCCCTTTTCAGTCATGGGAGACATGTCAT